ATGATGATGATTATTATGATGATGATGATGATGATGATGATGATGATGATGATGATGATGATGATGATGATGATGATGATGATGCTGATGCTGATGCTGATGCTGATGCTGATGCTGTTGCTGATTATGACAATACTGACGGCGACGGTGCTGTCGATGACGATGACGATGACGGCGGTGATGAGATGACTGTGGTTATGCCGATGACGAGCGTGCTGGTGACTGGGGCGGGCGGCGGCGGCGGGCCGCGGCGCCTTCCTCCCGCCGAGGCGGAGGTGAAGTCGCTCAAGGAGGGCAGCGGAAGCGAGGGGTGTGGCGGAACGAGTTTTTTTGGGGCCTCCGCCTCTTCCTCCTTTTTCAGGGCCCATTTCGATACGCGATCCGACTGGTTCGATTCGATATCGGGTTTCGTCCGGGTCGATGCGATTCGGTTTCGGTTTCCCGCCGGTCCGATGCGACCCGACACTTGCATGGCACGCCTGTGCATCCTGGTGTAGCCGATCCGATTCGATTTCGACTCCGTGCCGATGCGGCCCAATTCGACACATGTTCCGATTCGATCTGATTTCTCGATTCGATGCTGATTCATTTTGTTCTTTCGCTGAGCGGACATTGGTTGGATGGCCGTTGCGTCTTGGCAATCGTGCTGAAAGAAAGAGGAGCACACGCGTGAGTTCAAAAAACGATTACGCGAGCAGTGCGCGTGCGCGACAGGAACAAGAAGGGCATGTAATGGCAGAAAAGTGGAGAAGCCCGCAAGGGCATAGAGAAGCGAATAACGGCAAGCCTCCTCCTCCTCCTCCTCCAAACATCCAGTGGGGGGCGGAGCGGGTGGGGAGGTCCTCCTTCTCTTCCTTCATACCTCCCCTCCTGGAGAAGAACTGTCTACAGAAACATAAGCTTTCGGGGCTCCGCGCGGATTTTTCGGACCTGCGCTGGGCCCCCCCCTGCTGCTGCTGATCCTCCTTCCTCATCCTGCTCTTCTTCGTGCTTATCCTCCTGGTCTTCGCCAGCTCCTCGTCCAATGTACACCGCCTCCCCTGCTGCTGGTGCATCACACGGTGAGGCCATTTTGGAGAAGAACCGACACCACCTGACAACCTCGATCCTCGACCGTCGTCGCCGTTGCCTGCTTCGCCAATCTCCGAAAGTATCCGAGGAGGCCCGAACACGTCAGGAAACCCGGATCCTTGTCGGCGGCGTCTCCCATCGTTCGATCATAACTACGCACACGGAGCCCTCCTCCACTCTTTCTTCCTCCGCTCCTCCACTCCTTCCTCTTCCTCTTCTCATCCCCCTTCCCCTCACCTTTCACACTCGATTAGTCAATTCTTGTTCTCCCAGACCACTGTACATCGCATGAGCTTTCCTATGACAGGTTGGCTCATGTAGCGTTCCTGGTTTACCGGTGAGTGTCTTTTTCACGCTACTGTGCTAGTCACGCCGTGGTGAGGTTCAGTGCTTGCGCGCTCCTCTTCCCATTTCCTTCCGAGAGAAGGAAGGACCCCTTCCAGCGTCATCCTGACCAGATTTCTGAGCCTCGTCCAGTCGCGGCGACGAGAACCTCCAGAACCACACGAGACCCTCGGACACGGCGTCGTCGCTGTCGTCGATCGTCGTTGTCACTGTGGCCTCCCTCGTCGGCCTCTCCCGTCTGTGCCCGGCGGCCCCAGGAGGCCCCGTGGATGCCCCCGAGTGCCCGAAGAGGGCGGAAAGCGTCCAAAGCTTCGATCTTCGATCCCTCGATCCCTCGATCCTGGGCCCTCCTCGATCCTCCTCGACCCCCCTCGCTCCTCGGACCTCGACCCCCGCCCCTCCTCGCTCCTCGTTGATCCTCGACCTTCCTCGATCCTCCCCGATCCCCCCTATGATGCCCTCCATCTCCCTTGATCCTCGATCCTCGCTGCCGCCCTGGTGCCCCCTCCCTCCTCTCCAGCCGGCGCGCAGGAAGACAGCCGGCTCGCCGACTCCAAGTACAAGCGGGACCTCTTCCCTCCTCCTCCCTCCTCCCATTACTTCTCCTCCTTCCTCCTCCTCCCTCCTCCTTCCTTCCTCCTCCCTCCTCCTCCTCCTCCTCCTCCTCCTCCTCCTCCCTCCTTCTCCTCCTCCTCCTCCTCCTCCTCCTCCTCCTCCTCCTCCTCCCCCTTTACTCCTCCTCCTTCTCTTCCTCTTCCTCCTCCTCCTGCCTCCTCCTCCTCCTCCTCCCCCTCCCTCCTCCCTCCTCCTCCTCTCCTCCTCCTCCTCCTCCGCATCCTCTCCCTCCCCCCTCCTTCCCCCCTCCTCCACCTCCTTCCTCCTCCTTCTCTTCCCTTTCCTCCTCCTTCTCCTCCCTCCTCCTCCTCCCTCCTCCTCCTCCTCCTCCCTTCCCTCCTCCTCCTCGCCTCCTCCTCCTTCTCCTCCTCCTCCTCCTCTTCCTCCTCCCTCCTCCTCCCTCTCCCTCCTCCCCTCTCTGTCCTCTCTGCTCCCTCCTCTTTCTCCTTCTGGACCGTCCTTCTGGACGTATGTCGGCGCCTCGCCTCGCCTGGCCTCGCCTCTGCCTCCTTCGGACAAGACTGCATGAAGCTTAAACTTTCGGAGTTCTTGGATCTCCAAAAGTTTCCGTTTGTGTAGTTTGTTCTTTCTCTATCCCTCTTCCCTCCTGGTCTCTCCTCCCTTCGAGGCCTCCTAGGTGAGGCCCCGAGCAGATGGGGTCGGGAGAGGGGCCCGTATCGGCGACGCACTGAACGCATGCGCGCGAAGGATGATTGCGCAGCGGGTGTTCCGAGCCTTCGCATTATCGACATTGTGCATCCCGAATCCCTGGGATCACGGTTGCGATTGGCGTGCAACTTTTTTCGATCCGCGGATCACAATTCCAATCCGCGGATCACGTTATCGATCCGCGGTTTACGGCATTATGCAGATGCATTCCACAAACTCAGCCGCCATGCGATTCAAAGACTCGCTAGGCAAACCAGGCGCACCCCAAGAGCCGACCTGCGATAGGCAAGCTCATGGGAACAACTGTATGCACGAAGGTGTCGAAGCTTTTTTCTCCGATCCGCGGTTCACATTTTCGATCCGCGGATTACGGTTTCGATCCGTTGATCACTTTTTTTCGGTCCGCAGACCATTTTTTCGATCCGCGAATTGATATAGTCTACCAGGAGGTCTGTGCATCGCCCATACACTGTGGATGCAGCGGGTGCATCTTGGATCTGGGCCGACTCGGCTTCAGCGTCGTCCATACATCGTTGATACATCAGCGATGCGGCATTCTCCACCGACCCCATCTACTTTGGCCCCATGTGGGAGGCCTCAATCTTTGCGCCTCCACTCCTCCTTCCTGGCTCCTCCCTCCTCCCTCCTTCTCCTCCTCCTCCTCCTCCGCCTCCTCCTCCTCCGCCTCCTCCTCCTCCGCCTCCTCCCCCTCCTCCCTCCTTCTCCTCCTCCTCCTCCTCCTCCTCCTCCTCCTCCTCCTTCTCCCCCCCCTCCCCCTCCCCCTCCCCCCTCCTCCCTCGCTCGCTTTCTCCCCTCCCCATCCCTCCTCTATCCCCTCTCCTCCCGCCTCCCTCCACCCTCCTCCCTCTTCCGTTCCTCCTCCTCCTCCTCCTCCTCCTCGTCCTCTGCCACTTTCCCATTTGTGGTGGTGCCTCGGCCCAGCGCTCCATCGCTGGCGTGCCCCAGGTTTCTTCCTTCTCTCCTCTTCTACTCCACGTTGCGGTTATCAGGACTTCCAAAGCGTCCTCTTTCCTCCCTCCCTCCCTCCTCTCACCCATCCACGTTCCTTCCTGCCGAGTCGATCCGATGCTCCGCGGGACAACGCCACCTCAGGAGGCAAAGCGGCAAGCAAAGGGCTGGAACGTAGCGAATCCTGGAATCCTCGGGACTCTCCCGAAGGCCGCAGAAGGTCGGCAGCGTGCGGCGACGGGCCGGAACGTGGCGAGTCCTCCGGACACCCATCCAACGGGGCTCCGTTCGCCTCCTCCGATTCGATTCGTTTTTTCGGTGGCCTCCGATTCTGGTTCGATTCGATTTCGGATCCCGATTCGGATTCTGATTTCTCAGTGGAGGTCTGCTCGCCTGCCGATTTCCGCCGATTAGACTTCTCCCGACTCGGCTGTCGATCTGCGCTGGTCCGATTCATGTCGATCGCCGATCCGACCTGTCGCGTCGATGCTGGGCTCTCCTGCCCATCGAATGACATCGAAAGCCCTCAGTGCAAACACTGCTTGGGGAACGTGCCAGAAGTCCTGGGAGGAGGGCGGCGGTGCCCTCAGTCGAGGAGGGAACAACGCCACTCGTACACTTTCGGAGGTCCGTGCGGACTTCTCAGATCTGCGCTGGTCTCCCAGGGTCCCAGGGCCACCACGAGGTTGCGAGCTTGGAAGCGCTTCGCGCTCCGCGGTCTGGGCGATTTCAGAGCGAGGCGCGAGTCCCTCATCCTGTTCCGGGGGGATGGGGCGGCGCGACAGCGCGAGGAGAATCGCGCTTCGCGCCTCGCGGAACGAGAAGTGCGAAAACAGTTGCCCTAGTGGATCTGCGCTGGTCCCCGGGGGTCCAGCGCCGATCCAAGAGATCCGCACGGCGCCGCACGGACCTCAGAGAGTTCTCTTGTGCGGTGCCTCTTCCTAGGCGCACGGGGTGGGCGTGAGGTGGGCAGCCGTCGGAGGTGGTCGGTGGCCTCTTCGAACATTATATCTTCTGCTTGCCAGGACGCTCTCTCAGGAGCTTCCCGCGGGTCAAGCGCCAGTCGTTGACAGGAGGCATTGTGGGACTCCCGGCTCCCACTCTACCTCAGACGCCCTCCTACCTCCAGGATCCGCATGTTTTTTGTTTGTTTAGTTGTTTTTTTGGGGTCCCGAACCCAATCTACTGCATCCGACTTCTATTTCCAAGGGAGGAAAACCACCCGGACCTGATAATTGGCGTTTGCTAAACGGCCCTGGGCGTTTGCTAAACAGCCCTGCCTTGTTCGATTCCTTCTGCGGGTGCGTTTGCTAAACGGCTTCGCGTGTCGGTGTGATTATTATGGGGGGGCTTACTCCCCTCCGAGAAGCGCCCTGCCTTCTCAGGAGGAGGAGGATCGAGGAGGAGGAGGAGGAGGAGCGAGCGAGCGAGCGAGCGAGCGAGCGACCTCGGCAGCGGTTCGGCATGGGCGCTTACGAAGAGCTCAAGCCTGGGGAATGGGCGCCTGTCAGCGTCCTTAGGTTGCTGCTGGTACAGTTCAAGGCGAGGCGGTAGGGCGCCTGAGGGAACCCGTTGGGGCTATTGAGCCTTGGGCCCCTTGTCGGCCCTAGGCCGTCTCGAACCTCCGAATTTGTGCAAAAAAGAGGGCGACACGCTGGGCTCAACCCTCCCATACCTGCAGTATTGCTTGAACTACATGGTAGTGGACGCTAGGGCATGGAGAATGTACGCTCGACTCCAATGCGCATCACGTGCTCATACTGCTATAGCATAGCACGCATGCAGGCTCAGACGATCGAGAGATGTTCTGCTGTGTAAGTGCCACGCGCCAGCCGCTCTCACAACTACATGAGCAAGCAGAGAGATCCTCGGCGTAGGTGTCGAGGACAAGTGGAGGTATGCATCGTTGGGGCAATCGATGGGCGCGACGTAGGTAATCTACGCTGCATAAAATATGAGATGTTTCGCTGCGCTAGCTCGGCATGGGGGTTGGGGGGGGGGGCGCAGCTTTGGCAACCCCAGGAAGCGCACTCCTTGTGACCCCGTGCGTCCTGCGAGCTGACGCCTGTGGCGACGTTGAACCTGGGTAGCCCTGATCGCACACCCAGGATTTGCGTTCTGACGCCCTGGCGACTTTAACCTGCGTAGCCCTTTTGGCACACCCAGGTTTGCAATCTAACTTCTGGCGACGACGATCCTGGGTAGCCCCAGTGGCACACCCAGGATATGCGTTCTACCTGCGGTATCCCATCTTTTGTAGCAACTCGCGAGCCCGAACACTGCCTTTGTCGGCCTGTCTGCGCAACCCATCTACATTGACTGCTGCGTATCTCATATCTGGCGGTCGTGTAGGTGGCTCTGGATGGCCCTCTCCAATGCTGTCGGTGGCGTGGACCCCTGGATCGGCTTGGCTCCCAGATGAACCATTGCCTGGTGTACGGCCTGGCGGAACTGCTGAACGGTGATCGGCGGCGGCTTGATGGCTTCCAGCGCTCCGTCTGCGTTCTGGGCCCTGGCTTGATTGACGGCCTCGACGATCAGACCCTCGTCCTGGAACGGGCTGACTGCGAGTGCGTTGTACATGATCTGCGCATTGTACTTTTTCTCCTGGCCCTTCTCCGCGTATGCCGCCTTGATGTGGAAGTATGGGATCAGGTCTCCGGCGTGCACGCGCGACATGTTGTTCGCCAAAATATCGGAAGTGGCGAGGATCTCGTGGGATGGGTTCGGCAATTCCGATTTGCGCCAGGCCCCGATATGAGTGTGTGGGCTGCCCCGGCCCGTCTCGCCCGCCTCGTCCTTCTCCCGCTCCGTCGTGGCCGTCTCTGGCATCGGGCAGACGTCCCACTTCTCACCACCCACCAAACCACCCCAACCCAACCCGAAGGCCCCAATTTACCCTCGATTTCCAGTGGGGGGGGGGGTCGGGAAACATCGACAAAAAACCATGTGGAACCCTTACCCCCCCCAACCCGAAATTCGGGTCTTCGGGTTGGGTTGGGGTGGTCTGGTAGGTAGTCAATTTCGACCCCGCGGTGTGCCGAGCCATCCGCATCTCGTCGAGCGTCGCCCGCTGCGGCGTTGCCGTCTCGTCGCTGTCTGCCGGCAGTCCACGCCCGGCAGGCGCGCGGCGCTGCTGGGGTCCACGTGCTTCGGCTCCCTGACGTGCTCGTTGCGGTGCAAGGGCTCCCTCGAGGGCGCGAAGTTATTCGCGCTTCGCGCTTCGCGGTCCTCGTTCCTTCTCCCCCCTCCTCCTCGTCCTCCTATTCTCCCTTTGGGAGGGCGGCGCGAGAGCGCGAAGTTATTCGCGCTTCGCGCTTCGCGCAGCGCGAAGCGCGAACTTAGGAGCCCTCATCGTCTCCCTCGGGTCCTGGGACATGCTCGTGAGCGTGCTGCAGGTGTGCGTGTAGGCCTCGGTGTGCGATGCCGCAATGCCCGCAGACGTATGGCGGATCAGGCTCGGGCCGAACGTCAAAGGACACGGTTCTGGATGGGCACTCTCGTGGCGTCTTGGCCGCCATCGTCCAGACATGTCTTAAACACAAAGCTTTAATTGCGAATGATACCTGGCACCAGGGACATGTGCTTGTGCTAATGGCGAGCGATTGCTCGTTTCGAAGCTGATGTGCGAAAGTGACGTGGGCGTTCAGGGCCTTCATCGTAGCATACGTGGCCCCGCAGATAGTCCCGTCCCTCATCTCGTGCATGCACAGGTACTTCCCCTCGTACCTCTCCTCCTCCTCGTGCGTTTGGTGTCCCCGTGCCGCTCGTTCTTTGCAATATCCGCGCTCTAGCCATGTTCATATCATGTGTTTGGCGATCTGGACTATCTCTAAAGAGCTCCTTGATGTTTGGTGTGCCATGCCATCCGCTCGTGCAATCTACGTTGGGGTACGTGCCCTCTATCTGGTAGTAGGCCTCTCTGTACATCTCTGTGTACTTAGCTAACATGTTTAGATATACAAGCCATTGTTTTGCCCACGGGGTACTGTGTTCATACACCCTGCCCGTGCTTGCTAGTCTTCGACACCCTATACATTCGTCAAGCTTCGTAGACCCGAATACTCCCATGAGGACGTGCTCGTGATTTGCGGGGTCCCTGGCGATGGTCCGAATCCACCGAATACGCTGCAACTCAAGCTCGACTGCTGCGGGCAAAATCTCCCCAAACTCTAGTACCCTCCTTGATGGCATGGTTCTAGTCCTACCTTCTTCTGTAGTGATGGATGCGCTTCCCTTCATCAGCCCCCGAAGCATTTGTACAGTCACACTGTCTAATCGATCAGTAAAGCCTTCTGGTAACACAAACGCTGCCAGGCCTGACATCGCTGCATTATATTCGATGCCTCGAAACAACATTCTCTCCAGTCTGCGCGGCAGCTGCTGATGCCAAGCGTGTCCTAGCGACCGCCATCCTGCTTTCGCGGCCTTGATCCTCCTGCTGAGCTCTGTACGCAGCACGCCGACGAATGAGAGGATCGGCCCGAGCAATCGCGCCTCCCTTTCGACGGTGCCTTTGGCCAGCGACGGCGCACCCAATTGCTTGATGCACGCAAAGGGACCGTGCCCCACGATGTCCGCTATGTGCGCTGTCTTGTGCTTGTTCAAGGGGTGCCCTGTATTCAGTATTTGTTATTGCAGTAGGTCTGTTGCTTTATTCAGCTGCGCTGCTATGTGTTTTGCTGCTGGCTTGGGTGTAAATGTGCGCGTGATATGTCGTCGATGAACGTGCCGATGCCTCTGGCAACGTGCTTGCCCCATATCGCGCTCGCCCCTGTCAGCAAGTGGTAACTGTGGTCTCCTTGTTCAAGATTTCGCGCCATGTCTTTATCCCGGGGGAGAAGGCATCTACACCATCGGCTGTTGCCATGGAAGGCCCTATCGACGTGCCCCTGTCGGCCTTGTAGTTCTGCTCTCCGTCTATGGCGTTCACGTGCATCGTTGCATTCTCGACTGCTGCGCGCAAGAGTGCATATTGCTCTGGCTGGCTTGTACTCTTGGGCGGCTGATGTAGTGCTTCCCTTGATGTACATGCGATTGCGTTCGTGCCGTCGTAGTTGGTGATGGTGTGTGATACGCGTGCATCTCTACATCTCCATGAAGCTGCTGACGATGCTAAGCAGCATCCCTCACGGCGACGCCCTCGCAGCCCTCCGTGCGAGAATCCTCAGGAGTAGGTCGTCTCGTTCGCTTCAGTATCTGCCCGTACACGCTCATGCCGAACGCGTCGAAGAGTTTTCGACGTATTTTCTCCCTGCGATCCATTGTGCTTGAACTTGAAAAACTTGTGCGAGGGCACTGTGCTCATGGGCATGAGCTCTACCATTCTGATGAGAGTGATGAGGTCGTTGTACCGTCTCGAGAACATGCGTGGGATGAG